TTTTTTTTTTTTTTGTATAATAAATTTAAACGATTTAATTATAGTCATCGAAACTGTAAGCTTTTTTTTTTCAATAAATTAATAAACATGTGGCTTCTTTGAGATTTCTTTATGGAAGCTTCGTGAGAGAGAGAGAGCTTGCTTCATGTTCATATCGAATCAATACTAAGCAAGACATTTAAATTGCTTAAAGGTTCAAGTACACGCAATCATTCTCCTTAAACGTAATTGTAGGTATTAGAATAACAGCACTAATGGGAAGAATTACATGACGTTGAACAGAGTAAATAAAAATAATTATTTTTCTTTTTAATTATATAGAGCAGGCCACAGCACTTTTTATGTCTTATAACGAAGGAGGAGTGAACAGAGAATATTCGTTTAGCCAAGTCCGTTCGTAGAATATATCTTCTGGTATTTAAAACCATACCAACTAGAATGTCAACATAAAGACTAAAACAAAATGCATTGCAATTTCGATGCAAAGATTTCACTCAATGCGAAGACAGTTTCCTCACTTTTTCATATACTACGCGATCACGTTGAAGTCATTGCCTGACGAACAGATATATTTTCTTAAAACTTGTAGTAAAAATGATCGGCCAGTATATCGACGTCATGCCCCCAATTTGTCACACTGTAGCTACGTACATGGCCTTTTGATCGTTTGCCATTTAACCCTGAGAGATCTGATATGAAATCAGCCGTCTTTGCTTACTACATCATAAACTAATTGCACAAATCCAGGTCTCTTAAGGACGGCGAGCGATTGGTTTATCATAGTATCACGATTCGTCTTACTTTTCGCATTCTGTATGTATGTACCGATACGCGAACGTTATGAAGAGTATCCCTTAATGCGTCAATCTTCCATCATGTTCAATTGTTCACTTATCGAAACCATGACAGAGACCGTCAATCTGACTTAGAGTACGTAAAAGACGAATTGTGATAAAACATTTGACCATATCAACCATCAGCGGTCAACAATAAATTGACAATTTAAGATTGAGCGCCACCGAGAAAAGATTTCATTTTTGACGACACTCGTGCGCACTAATATCGAACGGGACGTATTAAAGCAAAGTTGTGTAGGGTATCCTATAAGTTAAAGGACAAGTACATTTTCTAAGTTTTTGTTACATAATGGACATTTTTAGTTTTTTTTTTTTATTTCGGTTTCATAAAATAATTCGTTTTAGTGAAAGGCATTTTAGCAATTTCTGCGTCGTAAAAACGATCCCGTATTTTTACTTGCACTTTGGTGCCCGTCTGCTTAAGTTCCTCTTTAATATAGCCCATGGCAATATTAAAGCCTAAACTGGGACTAGGGCAACCACTGGTCACGTAACCTACTTCAACGTTATTGTGATAAATATGCGCGCCTGAGCGGGCTGGTGGCGGTTTTCCTGCGGTGCTTAATTTCAAACCGATGCGTCGTTTCTGAACCCCCGATTTCAATTGATTAACGATAATCTCGGCCCCGGGGAAATTTAACTCAGCTCTACGACGTTTCGCTACGAGCCAAGCTAAGGCCCCCTCGATAGGCGTCGTCTTGCTGTCGATGTCGTTGCCGTACAAACAAAGACCGGCTTCCAAACGTAACGAGTCGCGAGCGCCTAAACCGGCCATTTTTACATTTTCGTTTGTTTGTTGCAATAAAGCTTCGGTTACATGCTTTATTTTGCTCGACGGTACTGAAATCTCGACACCATCTTCGCCGGTATAACCGCAACGCGTAATACGACAATCATTAACGCCAGCTACTTCTGCGATAACTGTGGTCATGAAATACAGTTGTTGAAGATTTGCTTTCGTCAAGTTTGTGAGAGCCTTAATCGAACTGGGACCTTGCAAAGCAATCAGTGATTGATCCTTCGGCGATAGAAACTCTATGCTTACATCTTTGCCGTCGGCTTTGCGTTTAACTACAGCGGCTTCCATTAATGCCATGTCTTGCTGTTTCATGGCAGCATTCGAAACCACATACAATTGTTTGTCGTTAACTCGCGTTACTATCAAGTCATCCAGTATGCAACCGGCGCTATTAGTGAACACGGTCAACGAACCGTTAGCGTTGGGTGTGTTGTGTATGTCAGCCGTGCAAATAGACTCGATGCACTCAATAGCATCCTTGCCATGCACATACGTTTGCAACATATGCGAGACATCGAAGATTGAGGCATGAGCGCGTGTATGCAAATGCGAAGCAGCTATACCCTGATCGGCATATTGCACTGGTAGAGCGTAGCCACCGAAATTAACAATTTTACCGCCATGCTGTACGTGAAAATCATACAATGCGGTATGTTCCACTTTATCCGCCGCCGAAGCAGACGCGGCATAACCACGTTTAATTTGCCGGAACGTTAATGGCCAGTTTCTTTGCTTGTACAGAGGCCATAGCCTTTTAATTATTAGAGAGCTACTCATTCTTTTCTACTTCGCGCTCTTTTATAGGCTTTGTGCACTGTCTTGCATATGAAATTTCTTTAAGAACTGCACTTTAACAACATAAAAATTTTGTTTTCAAGTTGCATTAATCGTAAGTAATATATTGAAAACAAATAAAATAAAAAATAGGAAAAATATGATAACAAGTGTCATTAGCGTTATCATCCTCCCAACAAGTTTATAATGCAATGGATGTGTGGATGCTAAGATAATTCATTGTGAGATTCGTAGTGAGGTGATTTATAGGTTGTACATAACTCTCTTGCAGTCAGCAAGCAATTTCACTCAAACTAGGTCGAAACCGTACGATTAAGTTCGATGTAATTGAACCTGCATTTTGGGATGACCAGCCTTTCTAATATGCTTGCGCATCCACATGAGATGATTAGATGGCAGTCTAAGAGTTGTATAGGGTATTCCCTTCGTACGTTCACTAATTTACTTTCGTACAAGAGTATGGAAGAAAATGTTTTAATGACGATAATGACGATTTAATTGCATGCTGCTAATATAAAGTACGGAGGGCACACCTCCGTCTCTGATATTTTCGCAAATGCGGGCACTCTTTTTGCTTTTTGCTTTTTTTTTATAATCACTGATTTTTTTATTAATTGCCGCATTAATTTTCTGTTAGTTTAAGTGCTCACGATATTTCTGGCTTGTTGCCATCAAATACACATACTTCGATGCGAAAAGAGGGGAAAGGGGGTGTTTAAATTCTTCTTCTTCTTTTTCTTCTTTTTTTTCTCTGAAAAATTAGTCTCAGAACGAAAGCATGCTGGGGTAGGAAATTCTAATGGGGTAGCTGTTACCTTAGCATAATTTTCTCAGGAGCAGCCAATGACAACATCAGCCTAATCTACAGTCCCTGTTGGAAGATGGAAGAATGCGCTGACCTTAACTGTGTGAATTCATTGCAGAATGCAAGCGTGTACCTGAGACACCGTAAATTATATCAAAATTTCATTAGCGAACATGATTTTGTTCTCTGCCTGTCTGCCGCTTATCCTTCCGACGAACAGTTTGTGTAGGAAAAAGTTTGCTCTCAACACTTTTGTTGTGCACTTTGCAAGGACAAATTATCGAACTATCGCGGCTATGAAAATTTTGTGTGTTCGAGGTTATAATGCATCGTTCTCTGATCGTAACCGATCTGATTATGATTAATTTTAGATCATGTCGTTACATATTCGTTAGAATGAAGATAAACAGATTGACGGCTTAAACGATTCAAAGCCCTTCGTCGATTGCTTGCTCCGAGATTTTATTTTCCATGATGCCTATGTGCGAAAGCGTCCACATAACATATGACTAGCTTTAGTTATTATACAAACTCTCACATAGTGATTACGAAAGCTGCAGCACAAAAAGTAAAATTCATTCCTTCGATGGAGAAAAATCCTCTGGGAATTACACAGAAATCCATTCCAAAGGTCGCTTAACAATAATAATGTGGAATGGAAAGATAATATTGAATGCTTGCATAAATTAAATCTACATTTTTCAAATCGCAAAACTCCAAGTAGGCACTCAACCAATGCTTTCGGTTACCGAAACTTTTTAAACCTAAAACAAGCGTCTAAGAAGCAGTGGTTATTGCGGCTTCTAGACTCGAATGCGACTTTTCGTTTTTTTACAAGCATTGTCCTTTATGTATATATATATATATATATATATATATATAAATATAGTTACTGAATTTTTTTCCAAAAGTTGGATATGTCTTCGATTAACCTAATTCGTAGTTATTCTGTCTATAGAGTGCAATACATGATAATTAAAGAAATGTTAAAAAAATGTTACGAAATGCTCAAGACTTTCCGAAAACACCGTGTACCCAAATGACATAGTGCCTTCTGATTACGTTACACTTACTTAGATCGATGCAGGATGGCTGGCAGACGGTTTTAAAATGCTGAGAAATTGCTGCGAACGAGCTGATGGTTGGATCGCTACCGAAACAACACGGTATCGCTGTGTAGTCGGAAAGATGGGAAAAAGTTATAAAGAATAATGTGGAAATTATTTTCATTAATTGATACATTCAAGCAATTTTTCTCAATGAATGCTTCTTTCAAGTGAATAAATGATCAGAATACATGCAAGCATCTACTAATTGCAAAAACCCTAATATTATGTAATAGAGCATTCCGTTAGCAACATTCCCGCCACAAAACTGTTTTCTAGCACAATTACCGACATATATATGTTGTAATGCTACGCACCGCGAACAAAGGTGCATGATCAGAGACCACTAAATGACCAGATGGCTCAATATTTGGTTCAGCATTCCAATTAGGATATTGTTGCGTTTTGTTATCAATGCTAGTAGTAATGCTATTAATTGGTATTTAGCTGTCTCTGGTATGATGGTAGAATATTTGCGGGATGGGGTAGCATAGATCTATAGTAAAAATACCCGCGCTTATGCATGCGCTTGCTTAAGTATTATTATTATTATTATTATAAATTTAGCCAGAGAATAAATTCTAAGACTAAAGTCTTAAAGCACTAGCATCTAGGGCTATCGGCTTTTTATTAAAAAACTCTACCGCACTTGAGGTTTGAACCCACGACTATTGAGTTGCTAGTCGAGACTCTTGCCTACTCGGCCACACAGGCGGATTTGCTTAAGTAATTATGTGCATAATTATATAAGCGTAACTGATAGGATTTCAGAATTTTAGTGCTTGATCATTATTCCGATCTTAGTATTGCATGAATGGATGCATTCTTGTTTTTATAAAAAGGCTTAGGATAATTTTATTTATTTTCTTATAGATCTATCCATTTATCATATACATCTTTTTTACATATTTCTTACATATCTTACATATCTATTAACAGAAAATTGTTAGTATAATTATTATTTTTTATTTAAACAAATATTTTTGTCGAAGAGATGATGACCATATCTAGGCTAAGTATAAGAATAAAGAGTAGTAGAAGTTTACATGAATGAAAGAAGATATATATGATACTTATAAGCCATATGGCGATAGTGGCTTAGTTAACGTAGCCGTCGTAAACGAAGCGTAGATATTAGTATAGATTCTGCACGAAATCACGCAAAATTCACTTTTCCTTAAATCAGTTCTTAGGCAAAGTTGTTAACTAAATAGAATAAATTGTTGAAAATCGTAATATATATAAATGTACTCAGTTCTTCTAACAATAAAAGATTTTTAAGATATAAAAGACAAATAGAAAAGATGAGAACATGCCTTCAGATAAACAAAAATACATGCGTTGTACGTTGAAAATTGCACTTAATCATCAAGTGCAAACATAAAATAGATGATAGGGGTAAATAAATTCTCTTTATGTTCACGTCACTGTTTGATGGTTTTTTTCATTTGTTTTTTTTTTTTTTTTTTTTCGAACTCAAACGCATGTGTATTGAATACCTTGTATGATGATACAAATATTTTCGTGATGCGTTCTTTTACATATACATGTCGTACAAACAAAATCAATACATTCTACTATCGCTTTTTCATTTTCCATTCCGTTGCATTTGCTTATGTTGCCTGGTAAGAAGTATTTTCTATTAATTTTCTTGCGCGGAATATGTTCTCCTCTTTACAATGTTGTATATAATTTGGAATAAATCCCATGATCTAATGTAATTCCTTAGGAGATATTATGCTTCATTTCTATTCGGCAATTGGGATAAGTAGAAATGACGAAGATAAGGATAGATAATAGGACAGAAAAAGAAAAAAAACTGAACTATCGAAGTAATTTGAAAAGTTATTTCAATAGAAATTACAAAAAATTACATAGCCATTCACGCGTACTGGTATGCGTAAACAATGTGTAAGCTTGTGAGTAGAATTTGTTAAGCAATTATGTGACAATCAAATGCGAACGCGAACGCGAACGCGAATGCGAATTTCAATGAAATAATTAAAACAACTTGGGATTATCAGAATGATCTTTATATACATGTATGCACGTATATGAATGTATTCGATGTTAATAATCTTTAAAGCAATAAATCTGCAAAGTCGACAGCGAATTTAACATGCCGCGCTTATTAGAAAGCAAAACGGTTCGCTAGATGTTTTGAGTATAATGACCTGGAGTATGAAGAATGTAATCGTGTTTAACTCAATTAACTCAATGAACCGAAAAACAAATGAAAATACTTACTTTAATTCAAATCGACTAAATCGCATCCTCTACACTGGTTATTGATTTTTATTTTTTTTTTTTTTTCAAAACTATTTATCTAAACATCTTAATAATAGATATGAAATGCAATCATGACTTACTTGCATGCGAATATGGATATTAAAGAATTCTTTTACAAACATCTATCTCAGCTAAATATAGTAAATTCAGTAGACGGGAGAGTGCAGGAGAGTGCGTTAAAAAAAAAAAGGAACAAATATATGCATGTACGCGTGTACATTTCAGCATTAAATGAACTTTAAAGGCATATTATTGTGAACCGGTCATCAAAGTGGTTGGTAATGAAGAATGAATTAATTTTATATATGAAATGAAATATGTGTCTATTGAAACAAAGAGATCTTCATTTGCATATAAGTGCAACATCTTAACTTTTAAATTTTTTTTTTTTTTTTTTTCTATTTTGTTATTTTCTATTCGGCGAACCAATGCGGAAACTTTATAGGAAATACATATATTTATGCTTTATACATCCTAAACTAGTCTAGTATTTTTATTCTTTCAAATTTATATTTATAGTTAATTTGCATTAATTAATAGTTTATTGGTACGTGTTTATAATTTAAATAAATTGCATATTGAACTTTACTATAAGTGTGAAGACAAGTATATAATGTATAAAAGCGTTTACTTGATTAATATATTGACGGGATGTTTAAATTATTTTTATATTTTATCGATTAGGAATTTCAAAAAAAAAAAAAAAAAAAAAAAAAACCTAAGAGCTTCTTTTTTACAAAAGTACTCAAACAGCTTTAACGGCATCCTATGTTGACTTTGCAAGTTGAGAAAAGTTGAACCGTTCTCTTATTATTGGCTTGTGGTGTTCTTCATGTCACATTACCATGATTCCGCAAATACGCAAATACATATTTCAGTAGGATTTCGGGGACTTTAATTTTCTCATTAGAAATTTTCATCTGTTTTCATGTGTTGCATGTGCACACAATTTAAAAATTGCACTTCTCGTGACTTGATCCGATGAACTCATTAAGACTTTAAAGTTAAGATTTTAGATAATAGATTTTAGATTTTAGATATCTTCACGGATAGTACTACGTTCTATTGGTAATAATTATTCAACTTAATACTTTGGTTGCTTTCTTTTGCAAGATTCTTGAATGAGCTGCAACTTTAAGCCTCGATTTTATTTTATAAATTTCAATTATTTCCTTACCAAGTTAAATTAAATTTATTTACTAATGATATGTATATATCTATGTATATAGAGGAAATTTTCAAATGTTTCGTTTTCAAGAATACTTTTTGCTCAATCTCGACCATATTTGTACCTTGGCAATGAACTGATGATTCCTTATATTTAGAAACTATTTATTTTTACTCGTCTTCGTAATCTTCTTTTCTTTTACACACTACACCATTTGATGTACAAGATGTATTAAGTTAGTGAGGACGTGTGTAACGCCCAGAAGGGCTTAAAATAGGCCCCTTTTTTATTATGTCGGTCCCTTTGTTCGTCTGATGTCTGTCCATGTATTCCTGCGCTGAAGATCGCAATTCTCAAAATATTTTAATGAAATTTGGTACGTAGACGAACGTTTTTTCGACCACGCCCCATATAACGCCATATTCCATATTCGTTATTTGCAAGTATATATGAAAAAAGTGCAATTTTCAACATTTCTTGGCATAAGTGACTAGTAATAGTATTTCGGCATTCTAACTTGTGTGTAAAGACTTTGGACCAGCTAGGTTAAGTTATTGAACCACCTCTCATTTAACCGTTCCTACGGAAACTGAGTTTTTCGATGGCAAAAAGATTGAATTTTCAATATTGGATGATGAAAATTGGCTCGTAATAGTAAACTGATGAAGAAGTCTACCTTACCGAATTTGGACCGCCTAGGTCAATTTTTTAGGCACCACCATATATAACGATTCTCATGAAACGTAAACACTTATACACCAACAAGGTCGAAATGTTAATTTTTTATGTATAATAAAAAAATTAAAAAGACCTAATTTGAGTCACATGGATTATGTCTTGGCCCCACTCCATATAAGCTATCACATGAATAGTAAACTTTTCGGGAAAAGGCTTCATTTTTAATATTTGATGATGAAAATTAATTCGCAATAGCGTTTACAACAAGAAAATTAACGGTAGGGAATTTGATATTACATAAGTCTAAGTCTTTTTGGATCTCTAGATATATATGCGCCATCACGAAACGCAAACTCTTATAAGGAGCGAAAATCTAACCTTCCAATATGCGGGATTTCATGAAAATTGTGTGTATTTTTTAGTGTAGGGCATGCAATAGTCAGCGTTGCCTTATTATAATGTTGTTAATCGTTTTTACCTATTACAGCTTTTTTGAATGCAAAAGCATCAAAGAGTAGTAAAGAATAAAATTTGTATCTAATCATAGTATGGTAGCCATTAATGCATGTCGTGGACATTGATCTAATATAGGACCCGCCGATTGTGTGCGTTTTTGAACGATGTTAGTGCACTGATTTCGAGTTGGACATGATACCCATGTCAATGTACATATATAGATAGTTAATTTAATTTTTTTTTTCCGTTTTTTTGCATTTAATTAATATTTAATACTTTACAAAATGCGCCCTTTTTCCATTTTTATTTCGTACTTTTTTTTTTTTTTTTTTTTTTTATGGCAAGTTACGAATAAAATATTTGAAATCAGTATCGTACTGATCAGATGGTTGATGTAGTCGTAGGGTGTTGGGCGGTAAAGATTTCCCCTTTAGAGTCAAAAAATTTGCAAAAATATTTCAGTTTCGTTCTAATGTCCACAGGCACTATGTGGAGGTAGTCTGAGTAGCACTGTTTACTGTCAGTGTTTAAACTATCAAAAAAAAAAAAATCATTTACTGACCGAATGGCAACCATTCGTATTCAGCTTAAACTGTCTTCTTTTTGTTTAGAAATGACTCGAGGACTTTCATTATAATTTGTTCTTTTATGTCCATATACGTAACGGGTTATAAGTAAAAGTTTGTATTTACAATGTACGCTGTCTATCCTTACTCTATCAGGATAAAAATATGAAACTTGGCTTAATAGTTCTTTTTTTCTAATTCTATAGAATGAATTTCAAAATTCTCCCAATCAATTATTAGAGATATGGACAAAATTCAAATTGGCCTTCTACTATGCGCCCAGGTCTTCAGGAAAAAGAAAAACTTGAAATCAAAGACATATGAAAACACTAAAGTGCGGCACTATCCTACTATGATATACCCTACATCACTTCGCTTAATATTTTACTTATTCATGTGACGACATTTCAAAATAAGGTATAATAGAAGGAGTGGTCGAAAAAATGTTCCAATCCGTATAATATTCAATACCGATCGCCGTTGGCCCAAAACATGCCGATGTACTTAATTTTAAGAAAGTATCTGAAAATTCGCGAAAAGTAAGTTAAAAATACAAGACAAAAAGACAAACAAGCGGACAGACGAACTTAGACCGATTCAGAAAGTGGTAATGAATCGATCGATATAATAAAAGATGAATTGGTTTCAAGTCTTTCGAGTGTTGTTTGTCTACATCCACATAAACTTAATATACCCTTATATGGCAAGTCATGTAATGTCTAAACATAATAAGAGAAAAATCTTCCGATTCAGTGATTTCTCATTTTATGACTTAAACTCATATATGAAGAGGATTGATTGCACGTTAAAGCCGAATCCTGAGTAATTCGAAATTTCAATTATTCCAATATATAAATAATCTGTTTACATGTTTCAAATCACTATTTGTTATGACCTTTTTTAATTTTTTTTTTTTAAATCAATTCAACTTTGTAGGCCACCACTCTTTGTGGTGATTTCAAAATATTCCAAATGGCCGTTGCTTTATTTCTGTGTAGAAGAAAAAAAAATGATTGCCTAAGACTTCTCCGATGCGAAGATCTGAGAGCTACATATACTAGGACAAAATGATTATACATTCATCGCTTACATGGCTCTGATCTCTACATAGTGCACATGTAAGATCTTAAAGAGAGACTTTTATCAATATTTCTTTCAATTACTCAAAAGTGCCATACGTTATACTTATATCCATACTTATTTTGAGTATATTTGAGCAGAAAAGGAGAAAAAAAAATATTCATAATCTTTGGTAAAATTATTTTAGAGTCATCTGCTGAAAGTTGGAAATATCTTTACAAGACAAAACACAACACAACTTTGAATACGAAGAAGCAGAAGCAAGAATATTCTAAAAAAGTTCCATTAGTCTCGGATACTTTAATGCTACCTTGCAATACGGGAAATCCCTCAATTATCGATTATTTTTGAATATTCTTTCAAGTATAAGACATATGCATATATTAAAAAAAAAAAAAAAGAAATGAAAAAAAAAATAAAAATTATATAATACTAGATTTGAATACGTTGAGGTAATTTGATTTACTTGAATTAACAATGATATTTAATTTTAATATCTATACTCGTCCTGTTTCGTTCTAATCGGATAAAAATTACTAAATGGTCTCATATGAAAGTTCCAGAAATTTTAATGCAAATTAACGAAGACCTGTGTTATTCGTCTCTTTCGACACTTGTTTTATGAGGCATATACCCAAACACATTTATATATATATATATATATATGTTTTTTACTTTTAATGATAATTTTATTTTCAGTACATATTGACGGTATTCTGGTTTTAATATAATAATACCCAACAATTTAAAAACACAACAACAACAATAAGTATAAGAATTAAAAAAAAAATAAAAATGCATATATATACATATATATATATATATATATATACACTTATATATATATGTAATGAAATTTTTAATTAATTTCATTTCGATTTCAGTCCGTTTAGGTGTTCATTATGTCATCGAATTCATCGTCTGCTATCGGAATAGCTCTCCTCCACCGGGGCATGCGTTGCTATATATTCTAAGGCTTTTATCACGTAATCGGGTACTTTTGGTATATGATCGCCAGTTGGATGATAACCATTACTATCGGCTACATAGGTTAAAGTGATCGGTATACCTTCCAGGGATATGTATTGATTAACGCCACTCGAGCCATATTGATTGCCACCTGATTTAGTTGTAATACCGTTTGTCGTTTGGAATTCAAAGTAATATTCGCCATTTTTATTCGGCGGCTTGTTTTCATAGTAAAGAGTAGAAGCATTTTGATCGATAGATCGGGTAGCAGCCGTTACCGGATCGTTGCAGGATGAGAGCATACACAACATGGTAAGTAATATCTAAATGCATCACAATTAAATATTTCAGTTAATTTCACCCATGGACTTAATATATGCACGCGGCATATACGCATATACTTATTATTATTATTATTATTTTTATTGTATTTTTGTAACAAGAACTAGATATATGTATATATGTATTTATTATTTTTATTTTTATTAAATTTTTTTTTTTTTTTTTCATGATTATTTTAAATTGCATTGTTTTGGCCCAAAATCTAAGACTAACCTTGATGTTATTCGTATATTTTATAAGCAACATATTGTTTAAATAAGTTGTTTACCGCTTTATATCAATTATCTGCACTTCAATATCCGTTTCGGTATCATCGACGTGTATTTGATTCGTTTCTAATGTTTATCACACAAGCACGATCTTTATTAGGCAAAATTTTCTATAGCACTAATCAATTAAAATTTTGTGCAGAAATTTTTATTAGAATTAAAAATTTTTTTTATTTATTTATTTTTTATTTTTTAATCTTATATGAGGTGAGTAAAAAGGAGCTTATGCAGAGATTACTATATAAAAAGAGAAACCGGAAAAAAAGAGTTTTGATATTGAATGAAATTTTAAAATGATTTACAAAAACAATAAAAACAAGAGTTCACTCTTAGCAAAATTATAACATTTCTTGGCATCACTTAATTAGTTATGTTGTTGTTGTTGTTTCTTTTTTTTTTTTTAAGAGTTCAACTTTATATATCAGAACAGGAATATTGGGAATCTCTTAATTTTAATTGAATAAAACTTTTTATTCTTAAAGAAAGTTTAATAAATTATATTTATCGCAATAATAAACTTTGTTTAATTTCTGTAAAAAAATTAAGAAAAATTCTGATTCAGATTTTTATTATGATGATGCTCTGCCAATCCACTACATGGGTTTATGAGCAACATAGACATTATACATATATAGTATTTGCAAAAGACATTCGATGCATTAAATGTAAAGCATTGGTCGTATTCTTTTATACCCTACATCAGTTGTGTGTGTTTGTTGCGGGGCGATCGCAATACCCAAAGGGACTTGGGATAGAGCCATCTGTCTTTACTGAATCGCTCGAATCACAATCATGTTCTGAATTCTTTTGGAACTTTCTCGATCCATCTGTCCGTCCGATGTCTACCCTTATATTCTCGTTGTATACGTGAATGAAGAGTAAACATTGCAACGGAGAGAGCCGATTAATTCTATATTTTTGCATAGAGTCGATGCTTTCTTCAGAATGCATTGAACAGCGGCAGTAGGTAGACGATTATCGAAAATTTACGAAAAATTCGAATTAAATAGAAAATACAATTATTTCATTATAGGATAAGGTTACGTACAGAATAGCAGATGAGGCAAATGACCTCCACAGCTTTGCTGATCCGTACATACTCTTTTATCGAAATTTTCCGTAATTTCTTAACACTCTGCTGTACACATGGCTGTAAATTCGAATTGCGGTACACCCTAGATATTTAGTTATAGAAATGGACAAAATCGCGAAAGATTTTGAAAAGAAGATTAAAAAATTCACCAAAAATTTAAAATTATCTCGCCTCGACAGGATTTGATATCGCTGCTTAGGCAAATGCGCGAATTCACTAAATGCATTATAAATCATTCCGCGGTAAAAGTTCACATATTAACTAAACGTTAAGTACACAGAAATACAAGTCTTTATGGATGACTTTGGATCATTCAGTCATTTTCATATTGTTTTCGTTTTCATCAGTTTTTCGAAGAGCCGCAATGTTTTCGATGCTTTCTCTAGCTTATCTCTCGCAAAATGTCTCTCTTCACAACTTTCCCGTAAAATTTTAATTAATGAATGAATTTAAAAGGAAATCTTTCGCAGATCGGAACATCTTCGCTAATTAATAATTCATTCATTTTATGATAATGGACTTGCCAGGTTTATGTTTTGCTAGTGTCATATGTGAATAGTCAAAGTTAAACTAAAAAAAAAAAATAAATTGTAAACATTTCCGATATTCTAAGGGATTGATGTAGCTTTTTAGAGACGATTTTTGAAATAAAAGTTAAGCTAAATATATATCGGAAGATAAAATACCTTTTTATAAGATTCTCATATAGAGTGAACTTCTGAGTCCCTTTAGCTTTACACTTTTGAAGGCATTCTACAAGTCAATTTGAAGCGGTAAGCATATTTCACTTACCGATCGAGAGCATCGTGATAAACATCTGAGTAAAAGCTTTCTTCAAAGAAATCTTCACGAGTTCAAAAATTATGGGTGAAAACACGAAAAAATTATTTATATGTCTTCTCATTGTCGGCACGCATCTAGACGAATTGCAAGGCGTATTCGCAAACTTTGTTTTTGCGATTGTGATAATGTAATCCCTAGAAAACTAGAACAAGCACGAAAATTGATTACAGCCAAGTTATAAAAGCACTTTTTATATACATGTAAAAATTGTAGAACAATATCTTATAAGCGTTTTTTTGCGGAGATTCGAAAATTAAAAAAAGGATCAAAATGATGCGCTCGGTAGCTATACTGTTAATGAAAGTAGGAAGAGAGAGAGAGAGTGAGTGAGAGAGAGAGAGAGAGAGTGAGAGAGAGAGAGAGAGAGAGAGAAGGGTAATAAACACAAGTTTAAACTTGAGTTCAATCTAATGTACATACTTGCTGTACGCAATTAGAGTGCAATGAATAAATGGTTAGCATTAAAAATAATTGCTTTTGAAGTGTTTACGATTACTACGACATTGGAACGATTTGTTTTTGTAATAAATTTCATACAATCAATTGCAGGAGACTTTAAAGTAAAGCATACAATATTTAATATATCGGTTCTTATTACTTTAGGAGGAGTCAATCAGCCATAGCTAGAATTTAAGCAAACAATCTTACGAATTTTTCTGATTCATATTTCCCAAAAAGTTCATTGTAAGATATTTGCTAACTTGATTTCTTGATAACAAACATGTTCACAATATCAAAATATTTGAAAAAAGAAAACACTTTTTCTCTCGCTTCATTCTCATGAATACGTAACAGTTCTAAAGCAAATGCATTAACACCAAAGCTTTTTAAAACGATAAATGCTATTAGCTTGGTTTAAAAACTTGATGATGCGATGGTTTGTGTCCACGGTACGGTATATGTCGCTATCGAAAAGCGAGAAAGCAAAGATGAAACACTGATCTAATGTTGTTGCATTCTTGTTTTGCTTTCATTTTGTCCCGGTCTGAAATTTTCCTGGATTAGTTATTGGTGTTAGGTTTACTACGAGCATGCGATTCTTTGCAGAGTTTGCTATCGATTATTTTTTATTATCCTCGTCCCTAATTCAAAAAGGCATTCAGACTTTTTCAAGATTTTAGTTTCGATATTCTGAAGCTCCTCAGTCGAGTCATGGCAACATCTATGTGCTACGTAATATTCGGTGGAGTTATAAATAACTTTGTCTCGTTCTTTTTTAACTTTTCCTAATTTCTTCAGGTGACAGTAAACGGTCGTTTCTGCTCGCCAAATACTCATTAAATGCGAGGGGGTGGGTGGCGCGGTGAGTTATAAAATAATGCCATCAAAGGTCGGTGGACTGTAAATGTGCGACTGTTCTTGATAGTCCTATCTCCAAAACGAAACTTGGCCAATAATTTTCATATTAGATCTTTAACGTGTACACCGCATGTTTTTTCAGCTCTTGTATTATTCGTAAGAAATTTTTCATTTATTTCTAAAATAACTCATGACAAATACGCCTGTTTTCACTTCATTTAGAAGAAGAATAAAAATTTAAAAAGGGCAGGCATCGCACAAACTAATTGTCAGAATACTAAGTACCTGTATGGTTATCTAATGCAACACTCAATAAGTCTCAGGATTTACGCACAAATATGGCAACAATGTTAAGAGATTCGTATCGACGTTCGACGTTCGACGTTCGTGTCTTGACATTTTGACAATTAGTTTAGAGGTTTCAGTTATTCTAGTGATACTACGTTTTCGATCGTTTTGGACGACTTTTGCCGGCTGCTGCCCGCTCGACGCACTGCCAATTTGATTCTGGAGCGTTTCGTCCATTTGCGAAAAGCCATTGCATTACAAACATGCTTGCGTTAACGAAATTTTATAAAGCTTAGTGCGTAGCCTTCCCACTCCGGGAAGCAGTAGAAATAGATGTCGAAAAATATACGCCAGAAGAATTGCTGGTCAAGTTTGAAAGAAGCGAAGACCGGGCAGTGCCAATTGTGATGGCAAAGAAAAGAAAAATTGGCGATTATAAGGTTAGCGTTCAATAAATTTTCCAATGCAAATAAGAGGTCATAGCAACCCGAATAGTTTGCCAACGAATCTCACACATCTGTGGAGTATCCGGTATTCTGGACGGCCGATAGCTATGCATCGCATATAGAGAGACTGGAGGACTGGAAGAATTATTCCGACGCTTGTAAAAGCATAGAAAAGCGCATATATGGTATGAAAAACGAATCGAGATGAGGTTCGTGCTTTTCTAAGTCTCATATACTATTATAATCCATTTGTCAAAAATCCGAATAATATCGCGTACCTACTAAATTAACTGCGCCCAAGTGTTTGATGAGGTCGAGAAGTGAATGTAATCAAATGCAGCGCTGACGCATCATAACCCTAAGCTGTCATTAGTTTCGGTAATGGTTGCCGTATCGTGTCGTATCGTGTCGTATTTGTATTCTAGCTTTGTAGCTACCTGTCGATATGTCGTTGCCAAGCTAAATGAAGCATTAATCAAATGAGAAACCTCTTCTTGTAACATTATAGCTAAGCATTATTGGAAGCCGTAGTAAAAACAATAAGGGAATAGCGAGGAATAGTTAGTAGAAAGTTCTGTTCTCGCACATCAGACAATTAATAATTTCGTTGGTGTCCTTCTATTTAATGTGTTTTGCATTCGATTTGAGATTTCCGGAATTCAGAGATAAGTTTATCTCCGATATTAGGTCTGAAGATAGGTCTGAAGGTCGATTTCAATTGAAGATGACTTTCATGAAAGCTTAAGTGGATTCAATAGGCGTTAGGATAATTGGTATTTAGATGTATACTAATGGGTTTGTGTGTTTTTTTTTTTGTTGCTTGAAGAAAAATTTAAGCAAAATACTTGACGCAGTTTTGATTTAGTGAAACAACTCTTTCTTCTTTTCAATATTCGTGATTTCTTCAGTCGGCTTTTATTTTCAACAATATTTCTCAAAACAAAACAAGCATCTTAACTATCAACAGCCTTTGAATGCGTCTTTAATATATGTATATATATATATGTATATATAGTATATGGGGGGATTGCGTCCTTTTTAAAGCTTAGTTTCCATAGTTTTTTTTTTTTTTTTTTTTTTTTTTTTTTTTTAACAACATATTCAAAATTATAGGTGCAGAGTACAAACATTAGTTGGATGTATATTTACTTTTGCTGCTGTGTGGCGTCTTTCAGTTGTGGTGGTGGATGCGAGCGTATATATTCCAAAGCACGCAATACATAAGCGGGAACAGGCGGCGGCGTAGGTAAATGATCGCCAACTGGATGGTAACCTTCTTCGTCGGCCGTATAGGCTAAGGCTATATGCTCGCCGTCAGGTGATACGTAGTTTAAAGATCCTCGAACACCAGCCGGATTACCGGCTTCCTGAAATTGTATACCATTGCTGGTTTCGTAACCGAACTGGTAATTACCTTCGGGATCTGAGGCTTCATTCGAGTAACCCTGAATGACCGCATTTTTATCAATGTTGTCAGCATGACAAATGACCATGAACGTTAACGAAACGATGCAAGTGAACTGAAAGCAAATTATTGTTTTTTTTGTTTTTTTGTTTTTTCTTGATATTTTTATTGTTTTTACTTGGAATACTATGCATTAAAAATCAAATGAAATTGCATAATACAAACAACACTTACAAGTTTCATTTTTAGTGTTGGATTTTCTCTTGAAAAGACTTTTATCTTGAAGGAGTTTTTCAAAACTGTTTTAACTTTTGTTAAACTCAAGTGCTTTTATAGCACAAAAGACATTAGCGACGAAGGGCTCTTCTTGTTTAACAGTAACATTACATTTAAACTAGTTTCGTGTGGGTTTTTTTCGTTTTAAGAAAAAAAAAAAAAAAAAATCCTTAAAAAACTTCTTTTTTTTTTTGAGATATTTTCAACTATACCTTCATCGACCGGCATATCTTCATCAACATTACAATAAGTTTTTGGTTATCATAAAGTGAGAAGAAATAAAAAGAAAATCTTGTTTTATTTTCGTGTTAATAGATGGAATTCAAATTAGTCAGAAAAAACTTCCATTCATACTAAAATCTTACCGATGATTTTAGTTGCGTACTCAGCGGTTAGCATCATTGTGAATAAATCAAAAACTCATTATTAACAATATTGAAGCGCACAATTTATGTATTATACGTAGATTTGTTGCCGCAAGGTCAGTAACACGCATCGATACAGCATATCTGCATGGTATATACATATGTTGATCTTGGTTTAAACTTTGCAGTAAACATTAACGTAGAGTTTTGTATTAGTTATACAAGAATTATAAAAAGCTACAATATTTTGTATGTATATGTGAATAATTATTTCGATAGAGTTTTTCGATCTATAAATGGGATTTTTGTAAAACTAACATTATGCTAAACATACATATGAGATCGTTTGAAATCAATTTAAATAAAAAAAAAAAAATAAATAAAATAAATAAATAAATGCTTCCACAAGTAAGAGTATCGGAATGCGAAGCAGGCACTCTTTGCACTGTCCGCCTTCTGCTTTAGCCTATGCGAACAACATATTGTTGAACTTGTAAATAGAATGTAGAATGGATAGAGGGACAGCTCTTTTCGGCGCATCAACAACAGGAAACACGAAAAAGAAAAGTGCGAAAATTATTTGGCGTCTCAAGGTGAATTTAGGTTGCGCGCAATGCAAACAAGTAGTAGAAGATTTATGCGACAAAGAGGGAAACACATTTTACATTATCATGCGCTCTTGGATTTATAGCAAGTTGAATCGCGGATACTCATTTTATACTTTTTATTGTCGTTATGCTAAATTATCAAAGTACGGGGCGAATAAGGCAACCGCTATGTACATGACTTATTCGTGAAGTTTTCTTGATTGCTCTAAAAAACAAAAATTTCGACTGAATTCACCCAATTAAGCCAAATTTGTTGAAGACATGTGTTATATAATAGCTTTAGAGCTTGATCTTGCGATCTTCCTTGCTGAAAACCCCGAAATGGAATTTGAAAACCCATTAGCGAAGTTAGCATCACCTACTTAGGTGAAATAGGTTCTAGTGCACTACAATGCTATTTACGAAAGGAAGGAAAAGTGTTCAGGGGTTTTTTTTTTTTGCATAGACGTGTCTTTCCATCGGTTTGGGTCATTTTCACATTATGTTGCAAAGGATCACAAATGAACAGACGGACATGCTTAGCTGAACCTTGGGTAGCGTTGTCAATTCTTCCCATTGTCGTACAGCATGGGTTTCAATAGATGGATTATTGTTTATTCAACCGGTACTCAGATATAGGTTATTTTGTACATACCCGTAAAAGACAGTTGATGCTTCCACGCACGGAATTTTTGAATGATTTTTAGAAAATGACAGAAGCAGTGATAGACTTTGAATGGTGAATTTATAACCAACATTATATACAAATATATATATACACACATATACATACACATATATATACATTTTCAAACACCGTAGAATTTGGATTAGATTCGCTGCGGTATGGTGGAATGGTTCCTTTTAGAAAAATCAACACACCAAGTTAGGCTTAGGAAATGTATTTGTTCAGAGTTGGCGGTGCATCAATGATTCCTTCAAAAGCGAATTTAGCTTTTCCACTTCTTCTTTTTTCTCTCTAGCGTCGTTTCTTATATTAAAAGTCAGATTGAATGTTTTGAATAGTACGCGTGCTTTGAAATGACGCCCAGTCTTCCCTTCATCCCTTCAATATAGGCAGCACGTCCTACTCTCACAGTTGTTTTCAGACATAGGAAGATGCCATATACGAAAAGAAGTAGTAGAAATTTAGCCGACTTCGGATGTGAAGTCATTATAATCGAAACGCTTTTGTTATCAAAAATGGTCCCGCTTTTAAATATCTCCGGAAATTCACTTATTTTTAGATAGTATATGTACTCAAATATGAAAAGACGAAAGAGGAGATGTCAAAGCGATGTCAAGTTCACTTTTTTGGCCTCTTCAAGATGTGCTGGGATTCTCTGTTAATGTTTTCAAAAAATATGGGATCTTTTTGCATCACTTGAAAAATGTTATTATGTCTCACAGACGAATGACCAACGAAATATTCCACAGTAGAAACAAATAAAGACAACATAGCCGGACCATACATATACATACAAATTTTGATCGATTCAGAGAGGGATTTTGAATCGATCGGTATAATAAAAGGCGGTTCAATTTCAAATCCTGTTGCTTGTTACCTATATTTGCATAAACTTAATATACCCTCGCACCATAAGTGGTTTGGGGTATAAAAATTATAATAATAATAATAATAATAGCAATAATAACAAGTAAGAAAGTCATATTCGGCATGGGCCGAATCTCACATACCCACCACCATGCTTTTGACATTCCACTCTCGAAATTATTTTGTTTGATACCCACATCGCTGATATTATTAAGAAAAAATTAATCGCTTTGTCTACCATATTCATTTCAGAATTAACCCACGTTTAGGCCGGCAGTCTCTACACTTGAGGGATGTATAAAATAGCTTTAAACATTTTGTCTTGTTTTCGTTATCATAAATGAGCATAAAATCTCAACAAAGTGAAAAAGAAATAAAATTTAATTATTTGTAACTTTGTAAAGGCGTGGCGGCTATTTGAAATTTTTGCACCTATAGGTTAGAGAGCTTCGTAAAGTAAATGTGAAAAATTTCAGCCTTCTAAAGGCACAAAAACTCACAAATTGTTGTTAGGGAAAAAGTGATGTACGTGCAGTTTATGGTCCACTGCAGGCTGAGCAGAGCTCAGTGCAATTCAGTCCATTTTCAATAGTAAGCTGTATGAAAAAAAATTCCAACATTTTTATCAAACTTGAAGTCGATATCTTAATTTTTATGATCAGGTAAGTGCCGACAACCAACACCATACAGACACATAGACGGACAGACATGGCTAAATTCAGTTTAGAATATCAATCAGTCAAAAATATATATTTTTTTTAGGCTTTCGACTAGGAAGGTTCCTTTTCGGTGTTACATAAATTAAAAAAAAAAAAAACAAAAACAAAATGAGTATAGTCGCCTTTTACAGTGATGGGTACAAAAATATTGACATATTGACGGGTGAGTTTTATTTATAAATCATTTTAGTGTGCAGCGAGTGAAACGACGAGTGTTGAAGTTTCGTTTTTCACTCGATATTAATTTCATAGTTAATTTATATATTATTTTTCAATCTTTTGCGGCATTGTAAGTAATCTTACATTTGACATTTAATTGGTATTAAAAATTCAGATCAACTGTGAGATTTATATCTGGCAATCATGTGATTGTAATGTTCTTGCATAAAATGATCGTTAATTATGTTAATTCGATTCGATTCGATATGTTCATCAGTAAATTGCTAACAAGTTTGTTTCTTAAGTCTTTCGTTATTTATTTATTTTTTTTTTTCCTTCTATTTATTAAGCTTTTATAACAGGGCCAGCGATTTATGAACTTTAACAACTATTTGGGATTTCAAGTGATTAATATGTTAATTGACGATTGAATTATGAAAGTATTTATTTTGCATAGCAAGCAATTTGAACTACAAGCATTCAATTCAAGCGCTTTTTGATCTTAAAAAAACAGAATTTTTAGTTTGAATGACATTAGTATTTACGAAACGTGTTATCAAAAGAATTATTTGCAATTTGCAATTCTTAAAATATTCACTTACAATTGCATATAAATGCATGTAAAATATGTGAAAAGAAACCAAAATTTTGCGATAATTTTCATCTATTAAAAGTTGCCTTGAATAAAAATCAATTTACCTCTCACGTTTGTTATTATTATTATTATTATTATTATTATTATTATTATTGTCTTGCATACATATTTACCCATCATCTTTCGGTGATGGGTATGTATACTTCATTTGCATTATGTTAGTAATACTCATAAGAGTATATCAGATAGAGACTTAACAAAATATATAGGATCTTAATCAGACAGAGATTTTCTCTTTTTTAAAGTTACGGAGACCGTTCATGTGTTACTCAGTTTTTCGTAAAGTTACAAATGTTAAAATGAAAAATAATAAATTTGTAGATATGTGTGTGTTCTTACATTAAAGTCGGAGATAAAGTTTAAAACATACGAACTGATTGCTAAAAAAAACTAAAAAGAAATTTCATACATATATAAAAGAAAGAAGAAAAAGAAAATACCTATCGGTCCGAATTGGCTTTCATTTAATTATCAATTTTCTATTATCAATATTTATTATTTATTTATTTTGCCCGAAACATTACCTATTACACAACTAATGCAAAAATATTAACATATAACACACAATATACAAAGGCGGTAAATTCTACCTACCAAACCTAAAAAGTATACGAAATACCTATCTATGATGGCGTGACTACGGTGACAATACTTTGTCTGAAAATTCATTGCAATGTAGATGATGATGACACATTCAGTTCAACGTGTTATTATTATAAATTTAGCCAAAGAATGAATTCGAAAAGTAAAAGTCTTAAAGCACTAAGCATCTAAAGGCTTTATTCGGCTTTCTTAAAAT